TTCTTTAAAACGTCTTCAGTTGATCCAAAATGCTGCTGCCAGAGTCTTAACTGGAGTTACTGGGAGAGATCATCTCTCTCCAGTTTTAGCTTCTCTCCATTGGCTCCCTGTCAAATCCAGAATTTAATTCAAAATCTGACTTCTAATCTACAAAGCTCTCAACAACCTAGCTCCATCTTATATTACAGATCTTACTGTTCCATATTTTCCTAACAGAGCACTTCACTCTCAGACTGCAGGTTTACTTGTGGTTCCTAGAGTTTCTAAAAACAGAATGGGAGGAAGATCTTCCAGTTCTCAGGCTCCTCTCTTGTGGAACCAACTTCCAGTTTCTGTCCGTGAGGCTGACACATTGTCCAGTTTGAAGACTGGGATTAAGTCGTTCTGTTTGATAAATCCTATAGTTAGTGTTGGCTTGTTATGCTGCTATAGGATTAGACTGCTGGAGGACAAATTGACCTTATTTCCTTAAATGAATTGTTAAAACTGAATAGTTTTCATTTGATACTATTTCTATCTTAACATGTGACTCTTGACCTGCCATTGTGTATCTGTTACTACCAAACCCAGCCGGTTGAAGCAGATGGTCCTCTTGTCCTGATCCTGGTTCTGATAAAGGTTTCTTCCTCATGAGGGAGTTTTTCTTTCCACTGTCGCCTTCATGCTTGTTCAAGATGAGAGTTCTGTGATGGAGTTAAACTCAAAGCTGCTCCTCAGATAAATAATGTTCAATTATTGTTTTATACATGAATGTTTCTGTTCAATTATTATTTTATAGATGAATGTTTCTGTTAAATTATTATTTTATAGATGAATGTTTCTGTTAAATTATTATTTTATAGATGAATGTTTCTGTTAAATTATTATTTTATAGATGAATGTTTCTGTTAAATTATTATTTTTATATGTGAATGTTTCTGTTCAGTCCCTGAGACGATTTTGTTGTGACTTGGAGCTTTAGAAATAAACTGAACTGAATTGAGTTGAAAAAAGTTCAAAAACAGTGCTAAAGCTAAAATCAACAAAACTTTACTTAAAATATAAAATAAACAAAACAGAAGCAAAAAGTTAAATCAGCAAGAACCATTTTAAAGATGAAAACAGCTAAATGTAGCCGAATAAACAAGTACGGTAAAACACAAGCCAAAAACAGAAAAACTGTGGCTAAATAACAAGGACTAAAAGATATATCACCAAAACAAAAGATAAAAACTAGAATTTGTAACAGAGCTACAAGCTAAATTAGCAAAATTGTAGCTAAAAGCTAAAACTCCCACAACAGTAGCCAAAAGCTCAAATATGATCAGAGCAGAGTTCAACGTGAACAAAAGATATTAAACAGATCTCCATGTATCTGTTGGGAAAATGTTTGTAAAGAAAGTTATTCTGAAAAGTACAAACTAAAAGTCACAGCAGCCGGCTCCAAAATGAGCCGAATGTTTTGATTTATCAGTGGCTAAAGCAGCACAACGTCTGCAGAAATATTAAAAATGTACAAAAGGAGTAAGTATTGAATAAAAAAACAAGAGTGAATAAATCGACGGTCTCACGATCACTTTAGGTCAAATATTCAGGCGTTCCTCAGGGAACACGAGAGTCATTTTTACACTTTTTTTTTTTAAAGCCTCATTTCACTAGTTTGACCAAATAAAATAAATTAATCGTTGATGATCCTCTACAAGTTAAGCTTTGGAGTCACCACAGTTCAAGATGGCTGCCACAGCATTTCAGAGTTTAGCAGGTATTGGGGTAAGATTTGGTGTGGTAGTAGCTGAGAGTCGTTCAGCTTTAGCTCCTAGCACAACACGTTCCCGTTTCCACCATTTTGGATGTGATGGTTTTGTTTCTTGTGCTCCGGACTGATGGTGGAGGCGCACGCCTTGAGTGTTGCCAGATACACATAATTACTCCTTTTCTGTGCTCCACACCTCATCTCACCACCTCCCCCCTCCCAGAAAGAGCACCTCCCTCAGCGCATACCAGTATATTAAAATACTAAATTCTTAAAGCGACGGTACGATTACATATCTGGCAACCCTGCTTGGCAGCTGAATGCAAACAAGGTTTCATGGTGTGTATTTTCACACTGACGTTTCCATGGAAACAGGCCCTAAATGTGTCTAAACGTGACACGAAGGCAGCGGGCGACAAAGAAGCCGAGGCCTAAACCGTGTCTGTCTTAAACGGATTTCAAGAACGTGAAGAACGAATGAACTGAAGGAAAAACAAACGGGTTCAAACCAAGTCTTTGAAAAACACAAAGCGTGTTGCTGGCAGGAAGTAAAATTGTTTCAGGATTTTTATTCGTGAGTTTCTGTTAATTTTTTTTAGTTTTGTTTAAATTTGGGCTCATGAAACGAACGGGTCGAACACCTCGTCTCAGCCGAAGACCAGCGGGTAAAAGAAATGGATCTGTAGAAGACGTGATCGTGGGCTCAAAACGTTTATCCAAAGTCTGTTTTAATTTTAATTAGTTTAAAACCGTTATCTTTGGAGAAGTGTTTCTAAAAGCAGTCACAAGCATCTCTAACCTGGCAGTAAATAAAACTGGATTTTGGTCTTTTTCATTTTGCTGACAGGTTTTGTTCAGGTATTTTTTTTTATGTTTTTAATAAAATGCAGGTTTTATGGATTTTATCGTTGGCTTTGATTTAATTTGAGGACATAAAGTGTGATGTCCAATCCCATAACTGCTGGAGACACCAGGCCCTTGAGCAGAAGAGGAGGCTGTCTGCGTTTAGCTCGGCTCCACCTTCGGCTGTTTTTGTCGAGAAGACGTGCTTCTCCTTTCTTCGCAGAGAGGGGCGGTGTTGCTCGCGCTGCACGCACGAAAACGATTTTTTATTCTGCAGAGAAAAGTCCAGGTGCAACCTGAGCTACTCGTCTCCAATCAACCAAGCAATAACTTTTATCCGTTTATCGTGTCATAAACAGTGATCACCTCAGCCGGAGAGCAGTTTCTCAGAGTTTTGGTCTTGTTTCCTGTTTTAGTCAGACCTCTTGCTGTCCACACAACTGACTAACACGTTAATAAATTAAGTTTTTATTCATTAAGTCACAAGTTAAAATCCTAAATGTTTTTTTTTTAATTCACCGCCGCTTCTTTTATGAACACTTTTTAGGTCGTCACATCTGTAAAGAAACGCACACGAACCTTTTCATCTGAATGTAAACAGAAATAAAACTTTTATTTACAGTTTCACACACACGTGGTTTATAACACTTTCAAATGAAATGATATGTAAATGAGTACAAACAGCTGAAACGCACAAAAATAAAAGATTTGAGTAAAAAATGTAAAAAAAAAAAAAAAAAAACATGATTCATTGACGTCCCAGAAACATTTTCCTCTCCCGCTCATCGATCACTGTCTGACGCAGCCGTTGGGTTTGGGTGCGGCTCACATCGGTTCCTCCTGATGAGACTCATCAAACTAACGTCTGATCACAAACATGTTTAACCACCAACAATCCTATGAACCGCAGAGTGTCTGGGTCCAGTCTGTCCCTCGGGTGTCCCTCAGACGTAGTCTTTGGGTGCGGTGGAGCGGGGAGCTGAGTACTTGGCCGAGTAGTTGTCTTTGGGGGGACAGTTGGCACAGAGGAGCCCCCCACCCAGGATGAGGAGGGCAGAGGCGCCCCAACCGATGAAGAGCGACGCCCCGAGCTCTCGCTTCTGTGCGCTCGACAGCATCGGGTCGTAGAACTCTCTCACGACGGAATTGGCCGTCCAGCAAACGGGGATGAGGCACAGAACGCCGGAAATGATGAAGGTGACTCCGGCCGCCACGCAGACCTTGGCTTTGGTTCTCTCGTCCTCCACGCAGTTGGTGCACTTGCCTCCGGCGATGCCCAGGAAGATGGCGAAGATGCCGGTCAGGATGGAGATGATCATGAGGGCTCGGGCCGCCTGCAGGTCCTGCGAAAGCGCCAGCATGGAGTCGTAAACCTTGCACTGCATCTGGCCCGTGCTCTGAACCACGCACTCCATCCAAATGCCCTGCCAGGTGGTCTGAGCCGTGACGATGTTCTGTCCGATGAAGGCCGTCACCCGCCACTGGGGAACAACGCACGTAACAATGGCCCCGATCCATCCGATGATGGCCAGGGCAATTCCCAGGATCTGAAACCCAGCCGTTGCCATGCCTCTTCCTGACAGGTGTCCTCAACAAAGTATGTCCACAAGCGTCTCTGGAAGTCTTGCTTGAGAGGTCCTCAAAAGTACATGTCAGTGTGGGGTTGGAGCGGGAGTTTTATACACAACTTACTCAGGAGGGGCTTGTCGCACGTTATCTGTGACGTTTTCTCTCTGCCCTGCTCCCAGCACGGGGCATGTGTCATCATGTTGGGTTTTTGTGTGACTCAGGGAACCCTTACAGGTGGACGTGTCCCACCGTGACTCACCTGTCGAACTCTGCAGCTCACTGGGAAAACAGGAAAAAAAACAGCCGCACCTTTTCTGCTGGCTGATTGACGTCTGTTGTAACAGTCTCTGAAACCGTCTCTGCTTTCACATTAGAGTTAATCAAAGATTTCTTCCACACTCGTCCAACTTTAGAAAAGTTGTCGGGCTATTTCTGGCACAAAGCGAGTCATTCCTAACGTCCACTGACGTCTGAAGTTTCACATCCGGCTTTTTCTTTTTCATTTTCATTTTCGAGACAATCATCAAGTTTCTTCTGACGGTTAATCTGAAACTCTGGCCTTTTCTTACCCGAGGACAGGAAGTTTGTTCTGTGAAGCACTTTTAGAGTCGCAAACATGTTTGAGGCGCCGTCTCTAAAAGAAGTGAAGATCCGTACGGTTGAGTTGAACCATTAACAGCATTCAAACCAAACGATGACTATGTTGTTAAATTAAAGTTTGTGCTTATGTAGAAGTAAGTCCTGCAGCTTTGTAATAATATGAACTAAAAAAATGTCTTCTTTTGTTGTTTAAATTACAAAACAAAACTTTTTAAAGCACTTTAAAAACAACACCGTTGTTTAAAGTGACACACACACTGATAAAAACACATCAAGCTATGAAATCTATTAAAACAATAAAGAAAAAAGCCAAACGATAAAAACAAGACAACACCACAAGCTGAGTGAAAAGTTAAAATGAAAAAAATATATATATATATGGTATAAAGATCAGCGGCTCACTGTGGTCACCATGGTTACCATCATAGTTACCATGTTCACCCTGTGATAACCATGGTAATCATACACCCGTATGGTTACCATGGTTACCATACATGTTGACCCTGTGGTTACCAAACATGTTGACCCTGTCGTAACCATGGTTACCATACATGCTGACCCTGTGGTAACCACGGTAACCAAACATGTTGACCTTGTAGTAACCATGGTAACCTATACACCTGTATCTGTCACTCCCTGCTACAAAACATCAGAGACACAGGGTCAGCATGGTAAACATATACCTGTATGGTTACCATGCTGACCTTGTGGTAACCATGGTAACAAACATGTCGACTCTGTGGTTACCATGATTACCATAAATGTTGATCCTGTGGTAGCCATGGTAACCATACATGTTAACCCTGTGGTAACCATGGTAACAATACATGTCAACCCTGTGGTAACCATACACCTGTATGGTTACCATGGTTACCATACATGTTGATCTTGTGGTAACCATGATAACCATACACCTGTATCTGTCACTCCCTGCTACAAAACATCAGTGAGACGAACAAAATACGAACTGAAAAGTAAGCCTGAAACAAGCGGACACCGAGTGAAAAACTGTGAAGTGTGTTTTTAAAAAGATTTTGAGCGGCAGAAGACCCGAGGGTCACACATGTCGGGTTTTATTCGTCTCTGCTGTTTTCCGTAGGAGATGCGACTGGCTAAAAAGGCCCACTTCCAGTTTTTAAAAGAGCTAAAATAAAACTGAAGTCCGTAGAAGCTTGGGCGTGCACGTTATGCACGCTGACAAGATTTATGAGAAAACCATACGTCCCAAAGCAAAGCGAGGCACGTCGAGTGGAAGCCGACACAAATCCCTTCCTTTTCATGTATAATTAATTATATCCCCAAAAAAATTGTGGGTGTAAAATGAGGCCATCAGCTCAAAAGTTAGTGCAACATCATCGACTGTCAGCCGTAGAAAAAAATCTTCAGAAATCATCAAACCCAAACAGTGACTGTGAAAAAAACAGTTGAAGATCTCAAGAAGCCGCTGGAGACGTGTAAAGTCTAGATGATGGTTCTGCTGTGAAGTCCTAAAGCGTCACTAAAAGCCCATCGTCATCAACGAGGACACTTCTCGGCTTTTTGCACTTTTTTTTTTTTTTAAACAAACCCAGAAGTCAGAGCACAGCAGGACCGATCCAGCTGCACGTGAAGGGTTTGCATCGTTTCTAAAATCGTGACCAACTGAACAGAATTCAGTGCTGGCGCCCTGAACAATCACTGATGACTATGTGAGGAAGTTCATCTCGTACATCTCATCATCTATTTTCACTTAAATAAATAAAAAACTGTTATTTAACGTTCAAGCAAAACACTTAGAGCAGAAGAATCCAAAAGTCCATCAGAAGATATCTGCTGCGTTTTAAACCCAAATGCTATTTTGATTAAAATGTTCTCATCCACCACAAACTCATCTCTGATGAACTTTAAATATTCTGCTGCTTCGTGATATGAATGAAACGGTTTGAACCAACAGTGATCAAACAAACAGAGGAACTCAGTCTTCAGGATCCTACTTTTAATGCTCAAAAAGAAATTTGCTGACCTTGTAGTGACGTCCTTTAAGGGCGAAGAACAAGGAGGACCGTTTCCGTGTGCAGTCCAGCTCCAGGTCCAGGTCCAGGTCCCTGTTCAATTTATCTGCAGCTTTTCATCCAGAGCAGTGAGAGTCCATCAGCTGGGAGAGGCTGTGGAAATGGCAAAAACACAATCTCATCTTGAGGGAACGGTGAGAGGGGCTCCGGGAGGTACAGAGAGAACCTGATGGTCTCAGAAATGAATAGAGCCTGTGTTTGAGTGCCAGAACCTCTTTTAGGACCATAATACCTCTTTTTTTATCCAAGGTGGCATCACTGAAGGGCCTGGCTGAGGAGATTGGGTTCCCTGCATGTAAGAAGGCACGAAGGAATTTTCACAATTAAGACAGCGAGGACAGATTGTTTCAGGCGAGGTCAGCCCGATGTGAACGTTCCTGCAGGAGATCACTAGGATGGCCCTAAGGTGTAAATGAACAACATTTGAAAAAACACAACATAAACACAACAACATTTGAAAAAACGGAATTACATTAAGTCAAAGCGGAAGTGGTCAAAGCAGAAGTGGCCGGAATCACATTTTTAAAAAAAAAATGGAATCATATTAGAAAAAACGGAATAATATTAGAAAAAACGGAATAACATTTTGAAAAAAAAAAAAAAAGGAATTACATTTGAAAAACAATAATGCATTAAGCGGGGCAGCACGGTGGCGCAACTGGTAGAGCTGCTGCCTCTCAGTGAGCAGGTCC